GCTACTGTAATAGAAAACTACGCCGTTAGTGTTATTTCCTTTCTTGTTGGCGACTGCATGCAGCCGATAACCCAGACAGGGTGCTGCGCTGGGAAAGTGCTTTAGATCGAATCACACAGCTGATCCAGTTATCAAAGGCTTCTGCATAATTTAGTGAACTTGCAGACATCAGCGAATCCACTATCTCTGCTATGCGTCAAACTTCCGACTCCACTTCTTCCTTTGCTGCATTTGGGATACCTGTTGTTTCTATGGACTCTGATGGGGAGGTTTGGCTAAAATACACCATTCTTATTATTTCTCTGTACATTGTTCATCTTTTCTTCCTATGTAAGCTGGTGCTTGTACTGAAATAAAAAACAGCCAGTGTGTCAAACGGAAAATTGCACCATATTGCCAGTTTTGATTTTCTAATTGTAAATGACGTTTTTATGTGTCGAAACTGGCCCACCTAACTTCTGCTTTATGCAAAAAAGACGTAACTTTGAAGAACGACATTTGTCACGACGCTAAGGTAAGTTGTTGTTGTGAACGATTCACAGAATTTTGCAAATATTAAGATTTATTAAAGCACACTGATGTGGAACCATGTAATGTTGGGCATAAGGCTCAACCAATCTTTCCGTCCAACGGTACAGGTTTTCGCGACAATAAGGTATCATTTGTTTTCTTCATCATTGCCGAGTGCGTCCTGATCGCAACAATATGAATACTGAAATGCTAAAGGAAAACTCATCAAAAAAGGAATGCACACATTAAAGTGATTGTAGGACTCTCTTGATGCCAGGGTAGGCACTTCAAACGTGCAAAAGTCTACTCTTTCCAACATTCAAGCTCCCATGAAAACAGCGCCGGCAAAGAAGTCGTGAGTTTGAGCGGAAAAAATTATCTCATTTACATGGTTATTCGTGAAAGTCGTCTCTGAAGTTATGCACTTGAGACTAGCTGGTTTTCAAAAGTTGGTCTTAAATTCAAACTTTCCTTTTTTTTCGTGGTGCTGCATTTTTGTACCCCATGAATACTTTTGCTGTAATATCAGAAAATAATGCTTCGTTCATAGT